AAACTGGTTCCCCACTATATGTTTTCAGATTTCCTGTGAATCTCTTTTTATTGCCATGTCAAGACAAGCATGTGAGTTTCTTAATGCCAATAAAATATAGAAACATTGTTTGTATGTAGATTTAGCCAAGGAGGACATTAGGCTGAGCTGCCTTTTGGTAGGAAGCCATCCTGGCGTTTCTTTGAAAAACTCTAGAGATGTTTGAATAATCCTTATACTAATAGATGTCACCACTGGGAACCTGTGTTACTTTTGCTGCTTTTTATTTGAGTATCTTGCTGGCAGTTTGGCTAGCTTGAAATGGTGGGGAAAACTCAAACAGTTTTCCATTTTCTTTTACTTTCATCTCTCCCAAATACCTATTTTGATGAAAACTGCAGATACGAATCGAGGGAAGAAAAAACACTTTACATGTTCCTTTTGTGCAGAAGGGAGTGGACAAAAACCTGACCAGTAACCCTCTTCTTTTGTTTGCAACACACGGCAAATTGTTGTTTTCTGTTTTCCTGGGGCTGTGCAAGCCCTTGGAATGGGAGACAAGGGATCATAATGGGTCGAGGCAAATAGTCACACAGTTCCTCAGAATTGAACCCATTGTTCAAGTAGGGTAAATGAGTTTTACATCCCTAATTTTATTCCTTGTCAGTGTGGCAATGTGAATAAGGATTAGCAATGGTGATTGGTAGGGGAGGCAGCTGAGGGGAAGGGTGGCATTTTTGTGCCCATAAAAGCCATAGTAGTTGCACATTTCCCCACAAACAGAACATTTCAATCAGGACTTGACAGTGCTCGGTTAATGGTTGAACGTGAAGATCTTAAAGGTCTTTTCCAACCAAAACAATTCTACGGTTCTATGATTTATGCTATTTACCTCAGGATACTGCAAGAGGAAATGTTTGGGGAAAAAATATTGTTGGAAAAACCAGTGTGTTAGAACAGTCTTACAATTGACTGTCTCAGTAAAGCGATGCCAATGAGTAATTTCTAAGGGAAACCTTTCCTTAAGGTAGAATTCATAGAGATATGTTCCTGATCTTTACTGTTAGTATGGTTCTGTGTACAAGAAAATATACTCAGGGTTTGGGGCTGACTTCCATTAAAGGAATGTTATGGTTACTGCTGAAGGAAAACTCAGAGGGGAATGAGACTTGACGAAGAGTGGCTGCAATAAAATAAAAAACTGTTTGTTGGTGCCATTAGTGTATGAAATAAGGGGAACTAATTTGTATGTCATAAATTAAAAAAAAAAAAAAACAAAAAAAAAACCCTGAAGCTTATGCCTGTGTAATGCAGAATGCAGGTACAGACCTGTAATCATCCTTTGTTCTAATGCTACACTGATGCTCAGATCCCTGAGAGTGGATCTGAGATCTGCTTGTGCTAGAAGCTGTAAAAGAATATCTCAGTATATGACAAGACCCAGTAGATGGGTATAAATAAAAAGAGAACAAGGAAATACAGTGCCAGTATTGTCCAGCACAACAGATTACCTTATTCTCCAAACTCTTCCAAGATCAGTGACAGTACTGAGGAAAATAATGGCTGTCACTTTTCTGACACAAAAGCAAGGGGTGTGGTTTTTTCCGTTGCCCTTCTTGCAGGTTTTCATTTTTGTGCTTGCTATTTTGCTTACCTGAAGTTAATCCAGAATTTGCAATATTCTTCTATAAAACCCGTGCAAATTCTGAGCTAGAACAAACAAATACGCATATACTTACTTTCCCCAGTCAGTGTTTTCCCTAAAATAGAACAAATAATTTCTTAGATAATAAGCCAACATTCTTTGGTATCTGTAGCTTCTCTGAAATCAGGACAGACAAACACAGGCAGTGCTTTAGATTCTGAGGTAAGCTCATTATTACTTTAAAGCTGGCCAACCTACAGACCACAAGTCCCTCAGAGCCATCTCCATATTATTTCCAAGAATGGAGCAACAGGTATGGGCTGCCTACAGATCTGGCCAATTTGATGTTTATTTAGCATCGCCATTTTAAGGTGGGCATTTGAGGTAATGACCTGCATTTAGCTTGAAAAGTCTTGCTGCAGTGGCTGTTCAAGGTCCCTGGGGAAGTTTGTGCAGAACTTGGAGCAGACCCCATCTCCTAGATGTAAAATCCCAATTTTAATCTTTCTCCTGTCCTGTGAATGTATCACTCATGCCTGCACACACAGAAAAAATGCACAAATTCTTTCCACTTTTTAGAACAAAAAGCAAGGATTTTATATTTCACTCTAAAGAAAGACTGAGTCTTCCTCTTCCCTACTACTTAAAAACTAGCACACATTGAAAAAGAAGGTGGAGTTGCTTTTGTTTCTTACTTTAAACACAAACAGTTTTTTTCTACATGCTTGCAAAAATTTTGTTCATACTACCTCAGATAGGATGGTTTAATCTGAGTTAATTATGATTTACACGCTATTTGAAGTGCCAGGAATCTTCAGTGCTCTATAGGGAACCTATTTCTGGTGTAGTTTGACTGTTACCATCATTGCATAAATAATCTCTGAAAACATCATTGTCTCTGAACACAAAGAATAAAAATGAATTAGAGCTCCAATGCCCTGTTCTTTTGATTATTTTACCAACCCCCCAAAAAAACCCAGAGACTTTGCAAAAAAATTATCTTTATTTATACAGAACATTTAGTGGTGCAATGAAAATAATCCTGTATCCTTTGTTTAAAAAAAAAATGATACTTGCAGTAAATGATGGCAGAAAACCTAAAGTTCCAGTATGAAAACAAATCTGGGAAACTTTTTTCCCACTTATGTTGATTGTAGATTTCTTCTGTTTCACATGAAGGGCCCAATTCTGCCTACCTATTAAAGCTTAGTAGGTAAGCTGCTACTAAAACACAGCTTTACCTTAGTCCAGCCCAAACTCTAGTTCAGAAATTTTAAACTGTGACCCTATTCTTGCCAGATCAAATCTAAGTCTGGCTGACTAAATATTTTTTCCCACTGCAGAAGATGGATGGATGCTTTGAAAGAAATCTGAATGTCATTGGCAGTTCTCTGTGCTTAGACTTTAGCTTTACCCTTCTGGTTCGGCTGCGGTCCCTCTGAAATTGTGAGCAGTGGATTCCCTGCAGTTTTGGCTTTCTGCCTTCTATGTGTTCTGTCAGGAATGGGCCACCCTGTTTTGCAGCCACTCCAAGGAGTGCTCAGGAGGAGGCTGCCTGGGCAGCCTCCCCTCTGGCTGGTGGTCCTGGCCGCTGGCAGCAGCAATCCTCCCACCAGTGCTGCTTGCCAGCCCGTGCCACTCCTGCATCTTCATCCCAAGAACTTTTATTTGCTGGAAGCTGACGCTACTCCCAAATGATCATGCAGGAGTAAGAAGCACAGCCGCTGAGGACTGGCAGCGCAAAGCCAGCGATACTCGAAAGCAGTTTGTAATAATTAAGGTGTCTGTGAACCTCCGCAGCTTTAAATAACCTCTCAAAGAAACGGAGGCAGGCACATTCCTTTCTGGGTTGCCAAGCATCTGCGTGAGCACTGCAAACAACCTGCAGCCTTATACAGTTCTTTGCACGGGGTTATTGGTCACACTTTCACATGAAAAAACTGCAGGTTGCTGCTTGTTCCCCGGTCCTAATGAGGGTGAGAGCTGCCATGAGCAGAGCCGACACCTACGTCGCAGAGCTGGGCAATGGCATTTATTGGGCTTGATCTGCTTATTAGGTGAGAAGCAGTAATACCTGGTTTGACATGCTGGGGCATTTATTTCTCTTTCATTTGCTCCATCTGTACTGCTTTGCAGATTTTACCTTTTGCCAGTGCCCTTTAATGTTTGTTTATTTTAGGAAGCATAAACTGCATTGGGAACTGCTCCTGGCTTTGTAAATAGTTTTGGTGATAGGATTTCCTTCCAGGGACCTGATAATGGCATATTACAAATTTTAGACTAGTTATGAGATCTGAGTTGTGTTATCAGGAGAAATGTTATAAAAAGTACTACTTCCATTGCCATTAAAATCCTGTGACATTTCACTTATGATTATCTAATTTTCCTTGGCACTGCTGGTTAGAAGTGGCAACAAATCTATGCTTCTGTCTTTATATTGTCAAGTTACCACATGTGCCTGGTCCCAATAAATACACTGTCACAAGTCCTGTAATAAGCATCAAGGCAGTAATAAATAGGAATCTCTTGTGATGATGATCATGATTAAGAAAAGGAAGTGTAAATAATCTGCAGTGCCTAAAGCTCACTTCTTTACAGAGTGGATTTGCAAATGAGCTATAAACCTGATCCTTTTCTTTATTGAGGTCAGCAACAAAATTCCTGCTAATCCCAGCTGAAACAAAATCATTCTGCCAGCTTGATGTTTACAGAAATGCATATTACCTTCACGTAGATGTTCTCCCCCTATGGCTTTTTGTGTTACAGACTGCAACCTCACCTAACAAACAGGACCTGAGGAACAAAATCTTACTCATATCAAATAAAAAGCCGTTATTCTCAAATAGTTAACAGTAAGTGTTGTCAAGTAATTTATCAGCAAACGTTTAATACTCACAGGTCCATTAAGAATCAGTAAATCCAAGGAGGGAAAGGCTTGGCACATCTAAGCGCTTGTACTGGGAAGGAGCCGCAGTTACTCTCTGGTGCCAAGCCTGATAAAGGTGCACCTTCGAGGCATTATTCCCTTTGACAAAGAGACTCTGTGTGTGTGTTAAACTTCCTGGGGTTATTTTACACTCCTTTGCAAATAGCCCAGTAGTGTGGAAGTTGTGTGGGAGTGGAGTAACTGGGATTGCATTTTTTTTTGTGGGAAAAAGCTTTTCAGAGGAGCCGGATGAATTTTTTCCTGCAGGCTGTGGAATTGCATACTAAAGGAAGAGCTTGCGCTTCCTCCCCTCCCTGCTTTCTTCTTTTTCCTCTTCCCTCCCACCCCTACCCCCATCTAAATGTAGTGCTGGGCCTCAGGAGGCCCATGAACACACAGAGCTTCCTACTGAGGTTGTCACTTGACTGACAGCTAAAAGCTTCTGGGGAGATGGACGAGTGTGAGTAGGTGGACATAGAAAAATGAAGAATGAAAAGATAAAGTAAAAATAGAACTGAATGTTCATCCAAAATCACAGCCCTTTGGGGGTTTGTAATGTATTTAACTTAGGAATGTTGTGTTTGTGTTTGGGCAAAATGTAGTGATGACATGGATATAAGCATATGTGTGTGTGAGAGACACTTAATATTTATTCAGAATGTTTTATTAGAAATTATGGAAACCACAGAAATACATCCAAGACAAACCACCTGTGCCAATGCCCAACTATTTGTAAACTAATATATTCCCTTCATGTTTTAAACTAAGAGGAAAACAAATTGTGAATGAGTAGGAAATACAACAATCTTTCAGCCCTTCCATGTCAAGATGATTTACACTTTTTCAAAAACTCCATGTTTGTGTGTTCATGTGCCTGTGTGTCTATACAATTGGAGTCCTTATAAACAGATCTCTAAATAATTCAGCTGGCCTTGACCTCTCTGAAGCAGACGGGATCAAACATTTAACACACTGTCATCATTACTACAGTGTGTGCTGCAAATGAAGATAGTTTTGCTAAGGATCTGAGACAAATATAAGATCTGAGACAACTGTAAGAGACACTGGCTGTGCTTTTTCGAGCTGCATTAAATTGACCGTTTAAATGGTGTAAACTTGATTATGGTGCAAACATGATTAGTTCCCATCAAAGCTGAATCACTCCTGATAGTGAGTTACAATAATGTAAGCCGGCAGGCTGGCAGCAGCACAGGCTGCTCAGTTAATAGGCAGTTAAGAAAAATATAACAGATTCAACGGCTGTAACAAAATTTTAAGGAATACATTTTGACCTCAGGTGCTTTGTTGTAAGGTGGAGTTACTTGCTGAAGCTGAGAACAGAAGTTAGTCCAAGTATCGATGACATCTGTTGAAAAAAAGCTGGGCTTTTACGATCCTCTGAAATGACACAAAGTAGGGAAATTGTGATTATTTTGGCAAGGCTTCTTAAAAAAAGCATTTTCTTGGAGCCAGAATGTAGTGGATTTGGTAGAATTGTGAACAGTTTATTACATTTGCAGGCTTTGTCTACGTTGTCTGTGTTTATTTTATGTGGGTTTTTAAAAAAACAAATTAAAATGCATTAATGTAGTAGAAATATGTTAATATTTTCCAAGTATTTAGTAATTTTCTATGACAACTGACTTTTCTGGCATTGCAACAAAAATAACTTCAGTTAAAAAAAAGAAGACATCTTGATGCTCCACCGTTCCCATACAGTTTATCCTGTCTTATAGTAGATTTGTCAGATGCATCAAAGATGTGAAAACGAGAACACTCAGATTGCTTTAATTGAGGGCTGCCTGTATTTCTGTGTAAATAATAAAAAAGGAACTAATCCTTTTCTTCCTCCTCATTAGGCCAGGAATTCTTGTAGATAATTAAAGTCAGGAAGTACAAGTTTTAACGGTTGCACTGCCTGTGCTGCAAGGTTTTCCAACTCCCATTATCCAAGCAGCCACTTAAAAGATTTATTTTCTACGGAAAGAGAAAACTACACCAGCTATCTTTGCAGAGTTACCTTTAAGGGTCTGCCAGGGGGTGCTCCAAAATAAGTCTTCAAGCCAAAGGAAAACAACATGAACCTCACAGTATCGAAACCTCATTGCACGTACTGTGGTAAATATTTTTAAAGCTATTTTAAAAACAACAACAACAAAAAATCATCCTCTGTTGATCTTGACCTAAAATTAAAACAGGTGAAAGACAGGCGGTATTTTGAAGCAAAAAGGTACTAGTAAGAGAGTGTTAGGAAGTATGTTTTACAGATATTTGAATTTGAGAGAAAATAGAGTGGTTTGAAGAGAAAACAGTTGATTCACGACAGGCATGTTTCCTGCTGCACAAAACTGTTGGTCAAACGTACAGATTTATTCAACACAATTTTTTTAACTAATAGAGCTTCTGTAGAGTTCTGCTTCAACTCAGGTGAATGGTGGCAAGAATTCGGTTTACTATAGATAGGAAAAAAAATTCCTTTGAGAGTCTGGGTCCGATGCCCTAAATCCGCGGTGCTGGGATGATCCCGGAGCTTTGGGATGCAGCCGGGAAGGTCTTGTGTCCTGCGCGGGCGGAAAGACCCCGTTCCGCCTGCGAGGCTGAGCCGAGGGCGCCGGGGCATTCCACAGCTCACAATACTTCAAACATTCAAGAGAAAGCATCATCAGGTGCAAGATACCCTACAATTTTGTTCCTATGAATGTCTCACTGAAATGACATGAAATCTGTGTGAGACACTGTAATTCCTTCCCACGTTATTTACTCAGTAAGCAGGAAGGGAGGCACTGAAGCAAGTTCTTAGTGCACCAGAGCTAACAAGGGCTGGATCATTCTGTAAGCAGACATAGCCAGACTTAACCACATGAAGGAACAAAGGGAAGGGATTAAACAAGGAGATTCTTGCTCAAATTTAGCACAATGCAGAAGAGATGGTAACCTTGGCAAATGGTTACCATATAAACTCAGCTCTCTGGTCATTAGAAATGCTCACCACAAGTATGTGGCAGGTGACTTGTGAGGAAGGTCACTTCTGTTCAGTATTTGTTGCTTAGAGACACCTTGGCTTTGTCTGAGCTCAGAGAGTATGTCAAAGGTTTCGGTTGTAAACAGCAAACTCTAAAAAACTGCAATATCTCATTAATGGAAAGCTTATGCTTTTGGTTTGGTTGGTTTTGTGGTTTTTTTTGTATTTTAAGGAAAAGAACACCAATCTAATGAAAAGGAGCTGAGAGAGCCAGAACATTTATCACACTGAACTAGTCTCAAGAGTTCTTCAGAACTGTTGATGTCCTCTTCATTTAGAGAATTATTATTATTATTATTATTTTTTAATTGTCATGGTCGAAGCGTCTAAACTAAAGCAGGGGTGTAGGTACACGGGGTTACCCTCCGCATTGCCTTAGAGACACCGGCCAGCCCAGGCGTCACCGGTGCGCAGCTGCTTTGATCGTGCGCGTCTTTATACGTATATATTCCACGTACAGGTGTGGAACGGGGTGTGTGCGTAAGGCTGCGCGTCCTTGTGTGTCTCCGCGTGCAGAGGCAGTCCCTCTTAGGAGGGTTAGCCCTGGATTTTTCTAAGCGTCCCCCCGCCTCGGCTGCTGCCCCCCGGCACAATTTCTTTTTTTGTTAAG